CCCACGCACCCACGCACCCACGCACCCACGCACCCACGCACCCACATACCCGTCACTACGGCGCCCACCATGTCGTTCCTCAAAAAGGCACAGCAGCATGTGGCGCACACCTCCAAGCTGCCCGCGCTCGGCAACCAGGACCTCAGGCAGCTCCAGGACATCATCATCTCTGAAAAGAACTTCATCCAGTCCAACACCAAGGCCGCCGCCGACTTTAAGAAGAACGCCGAAGCCATCAAGGCGTGGTCTGCCGAAGAGGGTCCGGACCTCAACGACGTCGTCGGCAAAGTGTCGCTGCTCTACGACCACTACACCGCCTCGCAGAACCGCCTCAACTCGCACCTCACCACCGTACGCCTCCACTTCAAGTCGATCCGCACGCGCGAGGAGGCGCTCTCGGACCTCAAGGCGCGCAAGCGCTCGCTCGGCTCCGACATTGAAAAGATCGAAAAGAAGCTCGCCAAGATGGGCCCCGAGAACAAGGACCTCATGCGCACCACCGCATCCCTCAAGGAGATGCGCACCGAAATGGAGGGCATGCACGTCGAAGTCATGAACGAGGAGGCCGCCATCGGCGACTTCAAGCGCCGCACCATCCGCGAGTCGCTCGGCATCAAGTCGGGCGCGCTCCTCGAGATGGCCGAGAAACTCACCATCATCGCAGAGATCTCCAAACTCATGCTCGACGAGATCCCGCTCCACCCCACCCAGCCGGGCATGCCGCGGGCGGAGTATTACGGATTCGCAAAGACCGAGTCGCTCCTCCAGGAGGCTACGCGCTGCATCGCCGACGTCGGCTTCAACCCTTCGGCGCCCTCGGCTGGCATCCCGCGCTTTGGCGACATGACGCTCGCCGATTCTACACCCAATGCCTCGCGCTCCTACGCCAACCAGGACGCTGACAGCTTCAACAACCCGCACGCGCAGGGCGTCGGCGCCGACGCCAGCATCGACCACGGATACACGCCCGTCGACAACCGCGTGCTCGCAGGCGACGATGTGGCGCGCACACCCATCTATGCCGCGCACGCATCGCGCTCGCAGTGGGCGCAGGAGGGCGCCGCACCCGAACACTCCACGCCGGACCAAGCCACGAACGAATGGGCGCAGACGAGCTACGACCATGCGGACCACTCGACCGCGTCGGCGGCTGCGGCGGCGGCCATGGCTGCCACGGCTGGCGCCGACCTGAACGCGGTGCCCGGCCACGGCGACCCAAGCGTGCAGGATGGCGGCTTCCTCATGCAGACCAGCCAGTCGTACGGCTCGGGCCCAGGCGCGCAGCAGTACGGTTCGAACCGCAACAGCGCCGACTACCAGAGTGCGCAGGGCGGGCATGTGGACAATGGCGCTGCACGCACCACCTCGACCGAGGGTCACCATTCGGATGCCTACGATGGCTATTCCGCCGCATCCAACGCTGCAGCATCGGAGGGCAATGCGACTGCGATGCTGGGCGCGCCCGTTCTTCCGCCCGTGCGCACTGCAACGCCGCTCAACGGTTCCAACGCCAACGCGCAGCCTGTGGCGTCGCCGACGACGTACACGGACGACTCTGCGTACTTCCAGTCGATCGGCAGCACGCGCGCGATGCAGGAGGCGGTGCGTCGGCCCACCTCGCCTCCCGCCCAGGCGCGCATGTCGTCCTACGGCGCGCTCTCGCAGCCCATGGGCGGCAGCACCAGTACCGAGGGTAAGAAGGTCACGGCGGCTGCATTCCGTCGCGGTTTTTCGCGCAATCCCTCGGCGCAAGCCAACATGGAGGAGCAGTATGCCAACCCGCTACCACAGCCACCTAGTCTCAACGCTCCCATGGTGCCAGGCGCCTATGTCGGCACCACACCCGACAACGAAGCGGTTCAGCCGCTGCATATTCAGAAGCGAAACTCGAATTCGCACCAGCCTGCAGCAAGTGCACTGGGCGCAGCGGCTGCAGCCGGTTCTCCAGCGGCGATGCAGGGCAGGAGGTACAGCAACGATCTCAACGTGAGTGGCAGCGAGAATCCCGCCCCACCGTACTTGAACGATGCCCATCCCCACCAGCACCAGCAAGCATACCCGCAACAGGTGCAGAGACAGCATTCGTCCCAGTACGCCGAATACGCCGCACCTCCCCCACCTGGCTATGGCTACGCCTGATCCTGAACTCGCTCGCCCTCAAGTTTTAGCTTCTTTCCACGCCCTTTCGTAATATCCCTTGCGAATCGAGACTTTGTTGTGCACATTCGCCAGAGTGTTTGGACTGGAATCGGATTTGCAACGAGTGACAGGCGGACTTAGATCTTCTTACCGAGTGGTGAGGGGGCGTATTTGGGCTCGGCGGGGCTGGGTTTGGGCGTTTGTTCCGCAAAGAAGTTGTGGGCCGCCGGCGGGTCGGGGAGGGTGTAGGGGCTTGGATGGAACTGTCTGCTTGCGCTGGGACTCATGCCCCTGCTCTGGGGACGGCTGCTAGCTGCGCTTGCCTGTCCACTCGCCGTTGCCACAAACGCCGCAGCCGCACCTGCACCTGCACCCGTGCCCGCGGCAGCAAGGATCTCGTCGTCGTTGTCGTGGCGGTACGGTTGCGCCGTGTCGTAGGGGATCTGGTTGAACAGCACCGACACGCTCTCGCCGTAGTGGCTGCGACGGATGGTCTCGGCGAGCACGTGCGAGATGTCGATCTCCTCGATCTTGGCACAGCGCGAACGGTTGGCAGCCTGCGGAAGCGTGTTGGTCACAATGAGCTTCTCCAGGCGCGAGTTGGTGATGCGCTCCAGTGCCGGTCCCGACAGGATGCCGTGCGTGACAATGGCCAGCACGCGCTCGGCACCGTACTCGATGAGCTGCTGCGCGGCGAGGTCGAGCGTGCCGCACGTGTCGGCCATGTCGTCGACGAGGATGGCCACTTTGCCCTCGACGTTGCCGACGAGCACCATGCGCGACACCTCGTTGGCGCGCTTGCGCTCCTTGTGGAAGAGCGCAAAGTCGAGCTCGAGACGGTCGGCGAGCGAGGTGGCGCGCTTGGCACCTCCGGCGTCGGGCGACACGATGACCGCCTTGTTGACATCCACCATCTCGCGGATGTACTGCAGCGCCGCCGGTTCGGCATAGAGGTTGTCGACGGGCACGTCGAAGAAGCCCTGGATCTGGGAGGCGTGAAGGTCCATGGTGATCACGTGGTCGCACCCGGCATTTTCGAGCATGTTGGCGATGAGTTTGGCGGTGATGGGTGCGCGCGACTTGTCCTTCTTGTCCTGTCGGGCGTAGAAGAAGTGCGGGATGACGGCGGTGATGCGCTTGGCCGAGGCGGTCTTGCAGGCGTGGATCATGATGAGCAGCTCCATGAGCGAGGTGTTGGGCGAGGCGGCGGCGCCCGTGGGCGTGGGCGAGACGCACGAGGTGTTGATGATGTAGACATCGTGCTCGCGCACCGACTCGGCGATGCGCACGATGCTCTCGCCCGACTCGTTGCGCGTCACGGTCGCCTTGCCGAGCGGCTGCCCGAGACGCTTGGCGATGAGCTGCGCGAGCTCGGGGTGCGAGGTGCCCGAGAACACCTTGATGCCGCCTGCGATGGTGGCCATGTTGTGCACGAAGAGATGCCGGTGGTCAAGACCGAAGCCGAGGAAGTACGAGTTGCGAGGGGTGACCAACAAGAGGTGAAGAGGCAAGAGCGGCTGGGCACCAACGCCCATGAATTTCATTCACTGCTTTCCCACTCCACCAGCAGCTTCGCTTCAGCTTGACTGGAGTGCAGCCGCTCTCCGTGTGGTTCCTTCATACGTCCGAGTGGGGATCGCAACACACTACCGCCTGCCGGCCTTGAGCTTTCTTCTCGGCGCAGCTTCTTCAGGCACACACCCACGCCTCCCGAAAATAAGCCAAATCGCGCCGCGGGCCCAGTCACACGCCGCCAATTTCCACCCACCTTTTTTCCCCTTCCCCCGCCCTCTGCGCTGTGAGAAAAGTTTTAAGGCTGCTATTCACGGAGCCGAGACGGACCTTTCCAGATCGGAGCAGAATCGGTAATGCGATCACCGATGCCCAATCCACCTCCACACCGACTGACTGCATTCGGCAAAGCCCGTTTAGCCCTTTTGGACAGGCGGAATGCAGCTCATGCACGTCGACATTAGCAAAGCCGGTCGGTGTGCTCATCTTGCAGGGCCGCAACCCACATCCCGCATCCTTGCTTGCATCCACCATCCGTCGCTCTTGACTCTGCATGCGCTTCAGGCCATCGGCACTGCTGCCTCTTCTACGCTCGTTTCGCACCCAACCAACACGCATTATCGAGCCCGCATTCACAAGACTCGCTCCCATCACTCTCTCTAGACGACCCATCAGCTTCACCATGGCCGCCGCCAAGCGCAAGCAGCAGTCACCCGCTGCCGAGCCGCAGCACGACGACGAGGACGAAAAGGCGCTCGACCCCAAGCTCGCCGAGTATCCGGACGAGGACGAGAGCGACACCTCCAAGCCGCCCACCAAGCGTGCCAAGAAGGCCAGCGGCTCGGGCGCCGTCGTCAAGGGCGAAAAGGGCGTCGACAACAAGTACGGCTCGTCGGCTTACGCCAAGTCCGGCGACGGCTGGCATCGCAGCGACTTCAACCCGGCACCCAAGGGTCGCAAAGACAACCGCACGCCGCTTCAAGACCTTGAGGATGCGCTCAAGAAGCATGCACCGTCCAAATCCAACGATGTTGCCGACGCCAAGAACGTCGTCTACTGGATGCGCATGCACGATCTGCGCATCCACGACAACCGTGCGCTCGCCCACGCCTCCCACCTCGCCGCTGCCCGCCGCAAGAAGGGCAAGGGTGGAAACCTGGTGGCGCTCTTTGTCATCACGCCCGCCGATTACCGCGCACACGATCGCAGCCCGCGCCGCATCGACTTTGTCCTCCGCACCCTCGCCGTGCTCCAGCGCAGCTTCGACAAGCTCAACATCCCCTTTGTCGTCTACACGCACACGGGCAAGCGCACCGAGGTAGGAGACAAGATCTTTGAACTCTGCCAACAGTGGAACGCCTCGCAGCTCACGGCCAACATTGAGTACGAGGTGGACGAGCTGTGGCGCGATATCGGCATGGTGGAGCGCGCCGCCGACTCGGGCGTGAGCTTCAGCATGATGCACGACTGCTACGTCGTCCCGCCCGGTCGCGTTCTGACCAACGATGGCCGACCCTACTCGGTCTTCTCGCCGTGGAACCGAAAGTGGACCGAGGCCATCTTCAAGGACATGTCGCTTATCGAAGCGTCGCCCGACCCTGCATCCAACGACGCATCCATCCGCAAAGATGCGCAGCTCGGCGCACTGTTCGATCTGCAGAAACTCGGCGATGGATTCGGCATTCCCGAGGAGCTGGAGGGATTCGAGTGCAAGGACCGCAAGTACATGGCCAAGCTGTGGCCTGTCGACGACGGCGCGCCTTCGCAGGTGCTCGACAACTTCATGAAAGGCAAGGGCGGCGAGACAGCGCTTGACCGACCCGCCACGGAGCCGAGCACCAAGGACGTGGGTGGCAACGCCAAAGACTCGCGCCTGGGTCGCTACGCCGAAGGTCGCAACCTCATGAACGAGAACGGCACATCGCGAATCAGCCCGTACCTCGCCGCTGGGCTGGTCTCGCCGCGCGAGTGCCTGCGGCGCACCAAGGAGCTCACCAAAGGCAAGCTGCACGTTGGTCGCGACAGCGGTGCGGCCATGTGGAACACCGAGATCTCCTTCCGCGACTTTTACGGCCACGTTCTCGCCGCCTGGCCCAAAGTCTGCATGGGTCACGCCTTTATCACCAAGTACGAAGACGTCAAGTGGGAGACGGACGCTTCGACGCTCCAGGCGTGGAAAGAAGGACGGACTGGCTATCCGATTGTCGATGCTGCTCAGAGGCAGTGTATGCAACAAGGCTACATCCACAACCGCGGACGCATGATCACGGCCATGTTCCTGACCAAACATCTGCTGCACGACTGGCGCGAGGGCGAACGTCATTTCTCGCTCAACTTTATCGACCAAGACTTTGCCTCCAACAACGGCGGATGGCAGTGGAGTGCCAGTACGGGCACGGATCCACAGCCGTACTTTAGGATCTTCAACCCGCTCTCCCAGAGCGAGAAGAGCGATCCGCAGGGCGATTACATTCGACACTTTGTGCCCGAGTTGAGGGGCGTCAAGGGAAAGGCCATCCACGATCCCTACGCAAGACTCTCCAAGGCCGAGTTTGAAAAGCTGGGCTATCCAAAGCCCATTGTCGAGCATGCGCAAGCAAGACAGCGTGCCCTCAGGAGATACAAGAATCCAGGCGACGAGTAGAGAGCACAGACCCGCATCCATCTCGAGTTTTTAATTCTATCCGAAACTGCCCTTCTTCTATCAGGTCAGAGGTGTGAAATCGTGCGTCGACGTTATGGCACCGACCAGGCAAGGACTGCTTCTGTGCTGTGCCTTGCGCTTTGATCCTCGACTTTGAACCCGTGCATCGACTTTGGTTCTTGTTCAACCGGGCTCGACTGGTACATTCGCTGATCTGAACTCACACTTCAACAACAGGTTCGAAGTCGTGAACGTGACATCGCTGCTTTGTGTCGGAAGCGCGCCGCTTACAAGTCCTCCCACACATACCTCCGAGACCAAGCCGCACTCGTGTCCTGAGCGCGGCCGGCATGGAATTGAGTGCGCTGGTCTTGGATCCGCGGTCAAAGAATGAGCAAAATCTGGAAAAGTCGGCACACCTCCGCACACTCGGCGTCGCACCTCAAGGTCTCGCCGCGCCCTGCAGTCCCATTTGATAACGTCACAATCGGCGCAACCACTCTGCATCTCAATCTCAGGCTCAGAGACTACACACAGGCTACATCTCACCCTCGACACCCGTGCAGCGTTGTTGAACCGCCAAGTTGATGAAATGACATTGTCCATTGCCGCAAAGGGCTAGTTGTGACTGCAGTTCGGGATGGTGATCTGCTTGAGCTTCTTATCCTTGTCGAACAAACCCCAGTGGGCCTCGACGCCTCCGTACAGAGCGTCCTTCCACACCTCGTCGTACAGCTCGAACCAAAAGTAACCCGTGCCGTTCTTGTTGGCGTCGCAGACATAGCCATCCAGGAACGTCTGCAGTTCCGCCACGCCCGCCTTGGCGCCCGTCACCTGACCATTCTCGTTCACGTACGTTTCCGCCTGTGTAGTGTTGGCACCGGAAGGCCAACCGGTCTCGGCAATGTACGCCGCCGGCTTGTTGGGTGCAGCCTCGGCAACCGCCGCATCGTTGGTTTCAAAGTACTCGTACGTCCAGCCGGGACCATCCTGGACCAGAGTGCCCGCAAACCACGCATGCACGTTGGCCATAAAGTAGTCGACACCGGCAGCAACCGTGGCGGTAAACATGCTGCCGGCATCGCCCGTGCCGACGGGGAAGGACCAGCTCTTGGACGCGGCGAGCGTGCGGAACCTCTGCACGTACGCCACCAGGTTAGCCGCCGAGCCGCCGTTGAGGAGGTACTCGTTGCCGACCGAGATGCCGCCAATGTGGTCGGTGCCAAAGCTGTCGAGGGCAAAGGTGATGTTGTCCACCTGGCGGGTCCAGGCGGCGTCGTTGGGGTCGGACTGGTCGAGGTAGATGGCCGGGTAGATGGTGAGGTTGGTCTTGGTGCGCTGGATGGCATCGAGCATGAGCGCGGTGACGTTGCAGTCTGCGCCGTACAGACGCACGCGCGAGGTGAGCTGGGAGAGCGTCTGTACGTCCTCGATGACCGAGGCGAGGTCGACACCACAGCCGTACTGGTACTGCGAGTTGAAGGGCGTGTAGCACATTCCCCAGAAGCTGTTGTGCAGCGCCGTGTCCTTTTTGAATTTGGACGGGTCGCTCGAGATGTTGCTGTTGGTTTTGGAGGAAGAGGACGAAGCGCTGGCGTTGGAGTTCTTGTGCTTGGCTACGACGATGCCGACGACGACGCCGATGATGAGAATGACGGCGATGACGGCGCCGGTGATGGTCCAGATCTTCTTGCGGCGATGGCCGACGGGGTCGGAGGTGGTGGCGTAGGTGGTGATGGGAACGCCCGAGGATCGCTTTTCGACCCAACCTGCGTCCGGGTCGGCATAGTCCCTTGGCTGGGAGGAGATCGAGTAGCGGTTGGATTGGGGCTTGCGCATGTCCTCCATGCTGTACTCGGGCGAGTAGCTGTCAGCGGCCAGCGCTGGGGTGGGAGCATCGTAGGGCTCCTCGGGATACTGCTGACGCTGGTAGTACTGGGGATACTGCTGCGGATACTGGTGCTGGGGATATTGCTGCGACATGCTGTTGTCGTAGGTGTTGGAGGCGACACGCTCGTAAGCGGCACCGGTGCGTGGCGATCGTGGTTCGTACGGGGAGGGCATGGTTGGCAGAGAAGGAGGGATTCCTTATGAAGGCGAGCGCGTCCGACAGCCGTGTGGGGCCAAGAATGCCTAGCTGCAAGGAGTCGGCCAGATGTGGTGGTGGTGGAGGAGGAAGGCCAAGACGACGACGGCAAGTGTTGGCGAAAGGCAAGACCGTCCGGACGGCAAGCCTCGCTGAGTGATCGCGCTGTCTGACCGGCAGGAGCGCTTGGAAAGAGGAGAGATGGTCGTGGTTGCGAGAGACGCCGTTGGCTAGTCGTTGGCTAGCCGTTGCAAGTGTGCCGTGTCGGGCGGTACAGCATGGCTGCGGTGTGACGATGTAGAAAATCAAAAAAGGGGCGCGTCCACTTTGCGCCAGGCTGTGCTGCTGTGCTGTGGTGCACCTTTTTCGCTTTCCTTTCCGAGACCAACACTCTCCTGTCTCGGCAGCGCTTTTGGATGCTGGCGGAGTTCCAGGAACCGCGCGACCCTGCGTCTGCCGCGCTGTGCGGTGCTGTGCCGTGCCGTGCCTGCGCTGCCGGAAAATGGACGCCGTTGGATATTCGACCTAAATAGGGTTGGCTGGAATCTACGCGCTCAGACCTGCCTCAAAGGGGACTCTCTCTCTCGCCTAGGCGCCTCGCGCTTCGATAGGGGGGCGGACCTTGTGATGTCTGAATGCACGACTGCTTCGCCGACCGCGCGGTCACTTCGGCGTCCATGCACGCTCGCCCATTCCACCCGGCATCACCGCACGTCTGCCGATCATCGCTTCATCTCATCGGATCCCGATTTGCAGCCGATCCCCTGTCATTCGTAGCGCACGACCGATCTAGCCTACAGAATCGATTGAATCAAGAATCAGAGTGCCGCTACGAGCAGAGACATGGCGGAGCCCTGCGTGCCGACGTTGGCCTGGCCCACGGGTCCCGTCCACTGGACGCCGTAAAAGTCGGTGGCGTTTCTCGCCTTGGCGTATGCGCTCGCAGCCTGGCGCTTGAGGTAGGCCGTGTAGGGCATGCCTGGGGTGAGGCGGTTGAGCTTGTCGAGGTTGCGTGCAAAGATGCCCTTGAACGCATCCTGGTCCGTGTTGCACTTCTGGGCGCCCTCGCACGACTCGACCAAGACTCCATCGCTGTTGAACGCGCTGCTCGACATGACCGCACGCGCGATCTTGGTCGCAAGGTCCAGGTACTCGCGCTTGTGTCCGTCGGCGAGGTACAGCTCCACCAGTCCACCGAGGATCACACCTTGGTTGTACGTCCACACCACGCCGGCGTTGTTCTTGCACGCGTCCGTCAGTCCGTCGTTGATGAGGCTGGCACTGTTGATCATGCCCGACTGCACGAACCACAAGTACTGCGCCTTGGCAACATTCTGCCATTTGGCCCGCTGTTTGGCATCCGGCAGACGGTTGGCAAGACCCGCAGCGAGCGAGAGAAACAGCTCGTTGCTGATCGCATTCTTGTACGTGCGCGACGGAATGTCCCAGATGATCCCTCCGCCACACGCACTGCTCTGGAAGCTCTGCAGATACTCGGCATCCAACACCGCATACTCGAGGTACTTGCCATCGTGCGTCAGGTCGTACATCTTGAGCATCGCCAGTGCCCACCACCCCGTATCATCCGTCGAATCCGCCCGGAAGATCCCGCCGCCAGAAGGCCACCACGGCAACGGCTTCTTCTGCTGCTCGATCGTGTTGAGCACCTGAGGCATGTACCGGCGCGAATGGGTCTTGTCCATGTACTCCAGCACCGCCGTCAGCGCATTACCGCTCAACCACCACGACGCAGATGTATCAAATCGTCCATCCGTCCCATTGTAGTATGCGAAAAGCGAACGCATGCCAGCATCCACCTGAGGTCGGCCAACGTCCAAACCAGGAAGAGGCTTGGCTGTGCTGCTACTGCCAGCCGCCAGACCGGCGATGAGGAGAGATAGGTACTTGCTGAACAGCATCTTGTCGTTGGGTAGGTGAGATGATGTAGAAGTATGTTACAGTGCCACACATCCCCGGTATATATGCGGCTCAGTGCTGCGCACAACAAGGTGTCGGAGGCGGTTGGATTGGCATGAATCCCTGCTACTCGCCTGCCCCGCAAATGCGCTTTGCCACACCTAACCGATCTGCTGCAAAGATAGTCGGATTGCCCTTCGCCGACGTGCGTCGCTCCGACCTCGGCCTTGCCCTCACTCTGCTCCCGCACCTGCATCAGCTCGATCGCCGCAAAGCTGGATCGCTTGACTGCCGGCCCCCTGCGCTATCGTCACCGGCGGGTTTGGTGCCATCTGCTCCGTTGCGGACCGGCTACTCACTTGCTAATCTGCGCGCTGTCGCCGACCCTAGTTTCACGCAGACCCTGAGCGCACATCGGTCCGAGCGCGGTCATTTCCCCCCACTCCGCCCTGCCTTTCCAACCGTCGAACTGCGCGCGCCCCGCACACGCCCCGCACTCAAGCAACCCACACAAATCCAAGCGAGCCGCTGACTCGGACCATGCTCTTCACTGCTTCAGGCAGCGCTTTGACGCTCGAAAATGACAGGGATCGGCCGTGCGATATGGCTCACACCATCGCCAGTGCCGCCGACAATTGGTGCCATAAGTGAACCAGAAGCAACCGTCGTGCGTCGATGGGGCGGCTGGAGCGCGTGCTAGTGTGTGTGGCCGAGTGCTGTCGCGCTGGATGGATTTGGACGTTGGTGTGTGGCCTGGTGCGGCTGGATCTGTGCGCGACCTGCCCCGAGTTTGCCTCCCACTGTGATTCGTGGCGGGTTCCAAGAATAAAGGGTGCCGATGGAGGCTCGAGCGTATCTTGTCGGATGGGATCTTTGTTCGTCGGATGCTAGGACGATCTGATGGGTGACCATTTGGACAAACAGTCGGCTGTTGCCGTACGAGGGGCGAGTTCTTTCGCGGCCCGAGAGCCCGCCTGGGCCTCGAAAGGCAGGTGGCGCCCTCGTTCCGACATCCTTTGAGGGCGAGGCCGAGCTGGTGCGTGGGGCGATGTAGTATTGTTCTCAAATGGGAGGTGCAGCTGTATTGTTCTCACGTGGGCGGCAAGAGGGTCCGAGCGTTCGGCAGCTGCACCCCTTTGCCCTTGGTTCCTATCAGCAGAATCGCCTAGGCCACTCGGCAGCGGTGTGGATCGGGTCCAGCGGTGTCGGTCGGCCGCTTCGATGCTGTGGTGTGCGAGACAAGCCTCAGCGACAGCGGCAGCGCCCGCCTTCCTCGCTCCGTCCCGTCCCGTGTGACGATTGATCCATATCTGCAGCACGATACTGCTGGTGGGTGTGCTCGATCGTGTGGTAGTCTGCGAGAAGGACATAGACTGTGATGCTTCTTCGTCCCCCTCTTCAACTTGGGACAAGATGCCAAGTGCTTTCAGCTACACTTTGACGCTCATTTACCTGCAGCCTCGACTCCAACGACATCTGCGTGATGTACAGTGGCAGCTTTCAGCAATGGAAGCCGGCATGCTTCACGGTCTGCCTCGTAGCTTACTTTGCAGACATTGCCTGAAAGGATGGCGATGCTGACTTGTACATGTCCCGGGTGCTGCAGTAGTGAGTGTGGATGTGAGGGAGTCTGGCGCCCATTTCCGTGATGAAAAGCTTGAAGTCTACACAAAAAGAGGCTAGAATATGTCGATCACGTCCTCTTGCACCTCTGATGTCTATTGCCACTTCTGTCGACGACTGTGTTACCAGCCCTCGCCTGACCTTGCCTCTTGACGAGCGACTCGTTCCACTTGAGTCTGCCAACACTTTCGGGCCGACAATTCCACAAGCAAGATTGCATTATCTTTTGCACCTGATCAACTTGCACATGCTTCACTTCGTGCTTGACGGCAATCGAGAGGCAACAACTTGATGCACCTGCATCCTTCGAGCAGGAGAATCAATCTTCAATTCGATCATAGTAAAGGTAAGTTTCACGCCAAGGCACCGCGCGATTTTGAGTAGAAGAACACAATTGCAGCATCGGGTCGAGGCGATAAGAGATACAAAAAGTTTCAACCGAGCACGACCCGAGCGTGCTATCCATACACCATGAGACGCGAATATGAGCGAGACAAACTTTGATCAAGAGGGGGGTATCTTCGTCTTGCGCTTCGACTAGCCAATTTGGGCAGTCTAGGCGGTGGAGACGACGGTGTGACCCTCCTTCTTGACCTCACCATCCGAGTGGATGTCGGATCCCTTCTCGTCGACGTCATCCGAGACGTTGTCTCCGTGCACACCCTTGGGCTCCTCGATACCGGCGAGACGGAGCAGACCAACATCGCGCTGGGCCTGGAGCATGATACCGGCCTCCCACTGGGACCTGCCCGAGTTGTCGCCAAAGACGGCGTCGAGCTCATCGAGCGTCTTGAGCTTGGTCTCGGGCACGAAGAACTTGACGTACGCCACCGAGACGAAGCAGATGACTCCGAGGAAGATGAAGACACCGTAAGGAGCAGCGGTGATAAAGTCGGGCGTCGACATGGCGACGGCAAAGTTGTTGAGCCAGTTGGAAGCCGCACCGATCGAGACACCCTTGGCACGCAGACCGAGAGGGAAGACCTCGGCAACGATGATCCAACCGCAAGGACCCCAACTGAAGCCGAAGCCAGCAGCAAAGATCCAGACGAAGGCACAGGCAACCCAACCGGCAGCACGGTGCGCGGGCCAGTCGCCACCGCAGCGAGCGATGATGATGGCAACCGACAGATGGCAGATACCCATGATGACAGCGCCAGCAAGCAGCGTAGGCTTGCGGCCCCAAGAGTCGATGTAGAGGACGGCAGGGATGGTGGCAAGGAAGAGGACGATGCCGACCACACCAGAGGCGAGGAGCGAGATGGTGTTGCCCGAGAGTCCGATCTGCTTGAAGATGAAGGGGGCGTAGTAGAGGATGAAGTTGATACCGGTCCACTGCTGGAAGAGCATGATCAAGATAGCGACGAGGGTCCTCCTGAGGTTGGCCGGGTTCGTGAAGAGCGACTTGTAACCAGCAAGGCCGAGCTTGAAGTTGGAAGATCGGGAGCCGTCCTGGAGATCGGGGTAGTCGTGCGCAGAGACGCGGTCCTCGAAGAGCTTCTGGGCCTTGACCTCGAGGAACTCCATCTGGACGAGGAGGTCCGACTCGGGAAGACGACGAAGGCTAGCGATGATGGCAAGCGACTCCTGCTCGCGGCCAACATCGATGAGCCAACGAGGCGATTCAGGAAGCCAGAAGATACCGACACCGAGGATGAGGGCGGGGAGGATCTGGACGGTGACGGGGATCAACCATGCTGCGCGGCTCTGTCCATCGCCAGTGCCGCCAATGTAGTTAGTGCCATAAGTAAACCAGAAGCTGATCATGACGCCTGCAACGATGGCCAGTTGTTGCAGGGCTACGAGGGCACCACGAATTTCAGGAGGAGCGAGTTCGGCATTGTAGAGAGGGACGATCATCGAGAGCGAACCAATTCCCACACCCACAATAGCGCGGCCGGCGGTGATGAAGTCGTAGGAGCCGCCGGTTGTGGAAGCCTGGATGATGCAGCCGAGCAGGAACCACGCGAGACCGAAGAGGACACACTTTCGTCGACCGAAAGCGTCCGAGACGTAACCGTTCATGAGCACGCCGACGAAGGCGCCGAGCTCGAGGATGGCGGTGATGAAACCGCCAAGAGTGGGGTTAGTGATACCCTTGACACCGGACGCCTCCTGGAAGGAGTGCATGCTCAGGATCTGGCCGAACATGCCCTGGTTGTAGCCGTAGATCAAACCACCCATGGACGCGAAGACGGCGATGGCAAAGGTACGAGCGTTCTTGATGAGGCCCTTGGCGCCAGTGGCGCCGACCATCGAGAGACGGTGCTCGGCGAGGGCCTGCGAGACATGGTTCGAAGCACCAGTAGCAGTGGGAGCCATGATGGCGGATGCTCCAGGTCTTGAGCGAGAGGTGGTCTTGAGCGAGAGGTTGAAATGGAGGAGGTTGTGGGGAGGGACCTGGCCTTGCTCCGATTCTTGGCGGAGAAGTGGAAGGGGATGGGTGGAGAGTTGTGAGCGGACGGATGGGCAGCAAAGATCCGGGGGAAGGATGGGGGTCTATATCTACTTTTGCAAGGTGACGGCCAGTTGGGTCGAGGAGAGGGACGATGAGGACGAGGTCGGGGAGAGAGTGGGGCTCCATCGTTGCCGGTGAGAGGGTCCGAGTGCCTGAGCCGCGAGAATCCGGGGATGCGTGGGGTGTCTCTCGACGCGTCGCACGCCAATTGTTCATTTCGGGCCATTAGCGGCCTAGGGCACTGGTGCCTGAAGCGCCCGCACGAGCGCGACGCCAGAAAGGCCGGCATACGCAACTGAATAGCTAACGGCGATGCCAAAGACGGCCGAGCTGACCGGAGACCAGCAAGATGAGGAACACGATGGCGATGCACCTGGACCGAGACAAGTCACGGCAGGACTGGTGGATGGGAGCGGGAATAAAGAAAAATAAAAATAAAATAAAATAAAAAATGTGGCTGGACAGCTGACAGCCGCACGCGCGCATCGCTTCGCTCGGTTTTCCCTGTGCCACCCTCGTACAGAGCGAGCAACCTTCAACAGGCTGCGCTTCCGTTCATGCTCCAGGCCAGGTCCCTTCTCTGCCGTAAGCACCCTACGATCGTCGAACTGGACGGCTCAAGTTGGACAAGACCGAGATCTGTGACGGGAAAGAGGGCGCCACGCCGTTTGCATGTCTCCACCAACAGCCGCACGGACGCAAATGAAGCTAGTTAGGTTTGGCTTGTTGATTCGTGGCAACGCCTTGCAGCACACGCTCAACATCGACCCAGCAGACCCCCAGAATCGTGGAGACGCCTCGTCAACCGGTCAACCTGGTTGGCGCGCACGACTCCCGACAGCGGGGCCCGGGGCTGCAGGGTCGACTGACCGGGGACGTACGCTCTGGCGCATGAGATTCGAGTATACTTGGTCATGCCTGCTACGCACTGCTCGGCACGCCATCCTCCGCTGAGCCGCCTGCGTGCTTCCCCGGAAATCCTCATTCTCGCAAAAAAGCTTGTGGAACCCTCAGCTAGAGCCGAGAGAATAATAAAAAATTCGAAAAAGCCCCCACGAGATGCCATGTGTTGCACTGCACGCGTAGAGACGCAGACAGAGTGCGGGGATCTCGTCAGGGTTCGCGGCCAAGAAAAATGCCGAGAGAACATGGTCGTGCGCGGGGAGACTCGACTAAGCCATCGCACCGACCCAGCCGAGCGCGGGTCGCCGGTCAACCCTGCCTCGGCAACCTTTTGGCCGTCCTGCCCGCGCTGGTCTGGGAACGCACATACGACCGCAAAGGGGAGCCGCCATGTCCGTCCTTTCGCGCGAGAGCTTGTGCTTTTGACATTGCTTGGATGCTTGTTGTGCAAGATGCGGAATGGTCTGCATCCCGCATCTCATCTCGTCTTCGTCTGCCGCCCACCTTGCGCTGTGCGATTGACTCTCATCGTCAGTCACAGAGCACGCATGACGATGACTTACGCCTTGCATTGCGCGCGGGTCATCGACAATGCCGGAATCCACCTCCTTCTCCCGGTCCAGCGTCATCGTGGTCGGCATCGGGGACCTCGTCGCCGCTTCGGTGTATTCTCCCCGTAATATCGGAGCAATCTGAGCACGGCTCAACCAACACCCCGGGCTCCCAAGTTGGCCGGATGTGTTGGTCTCGTCTCTGAGCGCGACTGCTCGGTGTAGATAGTTGCCGACGATCTTACTGTAATGCTCCAGACAGTGCAGTGCGGCCAGTGCAAGCATCTCTGTACCGCGATCGAGGGCAGATCGGTCAACCTGCGAGGAGGGAGCGGTTCAACTCGAGAGCGGCTGCTTGCCCCGCGTCTGGGGCCCCCACTCGTGCTCGCGAGTTGCTTTTTTTCACAATACGGCATTTGGCAGAGCCTGGCGTGAATTGCTTTCGGACTCCGCGACTGAGCCCTTGCTCGCTTCTCGGCGCTCACTATACACCGACGAAAAGTC